CCACACAAGGCAGAAACAGGATTCTTATAAAACAGATGGCACACACTTCCACATAAAAAATTAGTTTTCTCGCGGTTGTTTAATAATGATACATTTTAGTAAACATTGGTTTTGTCATTTGAGAATTTTCTCATCATCATACACACACACAAACACATACATATGCACATTCCTTAATGGAGGTTTCTCCATGGTACTTATAATTTCATCTAATAAATTAACATAAACACAGACTGACAGATATGTTCCATTTACTTTCAATCCCTCTAGATTTTTAATGCTTTAACAACATGAACTTGTTACCACTGTCCTTGCTGATTAACTTTAAGACACAGTGGGGAGTATTTTTATTTTGTATAAGGAGTACTGATATTTCTTGGGTTTACTCCTAATCTCTTATCTTAAAAATGTACAACACTATGTACTAATTCCACTCATAAGTTGTTCTTTGCAGAAAAATAGAGGTCACAATATTGTATGAATTTGATAATTTACTTTGGAACTGCTGCAGTCAGTTTTGTCATTTTTTAAGTTGGGTCAATAATTTATTATATCCAGTAATAAAGTAATTCTCCCTTATTATAAACAGGGACTGTTTTGTTTTCTAATCCTGAAAATAAGATATGGTAAACAAGATATGTAAGAGCTGCTTATTTTCCACACTTAAAACTTAATCCAGTACAATGTTAGTTCTTCAGCTTCTCACTGAGTTTCCAAAATAAATATTTAAGATCAACTGTGAACAAGCTGAACTTGTTATTTGTGTATTCTTAAGAAATTACTTAAATTTATACAATTAACAGAACAATCCAAGTTCCCACTAGCATAACACACCACGTTGTAAATTCCACTCTCAAATTAACGCCATCCGAGGAAGGAACACTTGTACACAATCAAAATCTGACCCAGTAACTCTAAATCAGGTTCTGTCTCAAAAAATGAGGGGCTGGTGGGGCTTAATGACAACAAGTGCAAATTTCACAGTAACTCTGACTAAACGTCAATCATATGATGATTCAATAAAGAATAGAGATACTATAACGGCATTTCCCTTAGGGACAAAAAAAACCAGCACCCAACACGCTTATTGAACTGAAGTTACATCTTAAAATTACAACTTGCTTGGTCTTACATGGGATTGTGTATGTCTTCGTGATTTCAATATCCATGAAAATGTTCCAACCGAGCATATCAGCAGCTTCAAAAACCACAATATAAACAAGCATGTTGCCTTCTGTCACTTAAAGTCGGGTTTTCTCGACACTATAATTATTTAACATTACAGTTATTGACTTAGGTAAGAAATACATACCTCTAAACGATAAAAATTATGATAAACGCACAAATGCCTCCTAACATCGACCTTTCATCGCACACCAACCACTTACTTCCGCAGTGTTGCGGGACACAAAAATTAAAGTGTATCACAGATAAATTAGTGTAATGTCACAGGTATTAAATTTGATGTTGCGTGTGGCGTCAGGAGCCAAAATGCATTCGCGACATCTATCAGTAGTGCACTGACTTAAAGTGTTAAAAAAATCAGGGCCATCACCCTGACGATGAAGGCAGCAAGCATCTCCTAAACGTCAGCAGACTTCTGACTTCGTTGTCCAACAAATCAGAAGACAGATGTGCTTAAGAAACCTTCATTCTGGGAATAGCCAAGGATGAGTTACAAACGAAGCACCATTGGGCCACTAGAATTGTGCTGCTGGTCAGGGCTACCACACCCCACATTATTTGGTGATTGATGAGGATGCAGAATTGGTCAAAGGGTGATTAACATAGGAAAACTTAGAACTCTACAATCATGCTGAAGCAGTGTTTTTGCAGAAAGTTTGTAATGTTACTTCTCTAATTCATATAAGTGGACAGATTCACATCTACTATTCTGCTATGTTTCAACAATGCTACCATTGCAGCAATTTATAATCTGTTCTTAAAAGTTATGATTTTAGCATCACTCCATACTCAGACATTCATTTGGTTCTATATTAGTATTACTGGTGGTGTTGAACAAATGGTACAAGGGTGGCATGGCCGCAAATGACAACATTCATGTAAAGTTTAATTGAAATCAGTGTACTATTAAAGGGGACCGACATTCAAGCACAGAACACAACAAAATGAAACCTTTCCTCCACATGTATACATGCTCGCTCTAACATACACCAGAATCCTAATCTGTATCTCCCAGACATGATTACACTATATGCTTATCCCTTACAAGTAAAGAAAGAATTGTAAAACTAGAATAACTGTAGACTCAACTGCATTCTTTTGTCAATAAAATTATGTATTTCTCCCAATTAAGTTTACAAGTGGGTATCATGACTAATAAAAGGAGGTACAAAATGTTGTGCTTATCTACACTGGAACTGCATGTCCTCGTCCTAAAATTTAAAATGCAACATCCTACCCTGTATTTCATATAATGGCTTCATGACATTACACAAATGATAAAGATTTTAAAGGAAACGGATATGAGTGGTCTATGACATTTCTGGACTGGGAAGAAAAAACATTCCAGAATTTCAAGGGGTGCTCAGGTTGTTACAAATCTCTCCTAGTAGACAATCTTATTAAAGGATTCAATATATAACTGACAACAATGAATGGAACTATAATGTGTTCACTAACCTTTGCTGTTTTTGAATTCCAAGCATCTCCACAGTCAAAACCAAACTGGCCACATACAATTCAACCAGTTCCACTACCTATAAAAAATCAAGCTGGGAAGTGCAATAGAAATATAAAGAAAAGTTTCTCTAGGCTCAAATAAGAACCTACTTATGTTGACTAAAAAATAATTATTGGAAAACTGTTATAAAATTGAACTAAAGGTAAAGAAAGTTCAAGGGGTTTGGCACCGCTGAAATTGTTCAGTGGGGGCCTGAGCCCCAGGGACACCATGTAGTTGGTGCCCATGCAAACAGATATCCCATTTCCTTATTTTGTTATTTCCTATATAATTACCTTCTATACACATGATCATAATGTACGAAATGGAGTAATTTACAATGACACACACACACACACACAGATATATATATATATATATATATATATAAAATTTTGAAGGAAAAAAATTGTCTTATGTTCCATAATTAAATAACATCACAAACAGAATAAAAATCCAAATTTGGAACTGATAAATAAAAACTAGCATTACTGGATTCAGAACCTCATGTCACAGCTACAGAAATGTCTAATTAGTATAATGAATAATAGAATAATCCCACCAGTATACAGTTTATGTGGTCCAGTCTTTAAGACCTTGTCATATGGCTGTGCTCTAGAACAGCTCAAATCAGTACTGGCATTTTGCGCCTAGAACATATTTTGATACACACAGTCCCATGCTGCAAACACCAATATCAACACAAATTAGTTTCATATTTAATTAAAAGTTGTGTAATGAAAGAATTAAAATAAGTTTTCTTTAGAAAAATTTGCTGTAAAAATTTAAATATCCAGTAATCTTTCATTTCCACAATTGACTAGTTTCTTCAGTAAGAAGAATAAAAAGTAGTATAAATATTGGTATTACATCATGCAATATACAGTTAATTCAGAAGCTGGATAACATCTCAAGCAGTTAGTCTGACATAGCAGACACTATAGGTAATGTATATCTTGGAGTTGCAGGAAAAATGAATTTTATACCCCAATGAAATGTTCTAAAATCATAAGACAAAATTATTATATAATGCTTGAAAATCAAATATTACAGTAAATTGTAAAAGGCAGTCTCTTGGGCATGGGTTAATGTTGCAGTAGTCTAATGACACAATGTGTTCAAAAATGCATTTGCTAAATTAGCCACATAATAGCTTACTCATGAAATAATGTACTGTCAACAGTGACCCACCCTCCAAACAGTCTCCTGAATTTAGTTCCAATTTGTTTTTCTTAGAGACTGGAGAAAAAACAGATAAGAAAGTTCAGAAAGATTATGCATGCTATGAGTCAATCATTAATTGGAAAGTAAATTCAAATGATCCTTGATGTGAAAATTTTCACACAGAACTCTTATGTGTATTAAAAACAACAGAGTACCTCCATGAAAAATATATGTGCATGATTTGTATGAAATATCCAAAACAAAGAGAATAAAGGTTAAAAAAAATATTTACAAATTAATATTCCAAAAATTCTCACAAAACTACAGTTTTCTCAACTTTCTAACATTTCACATGCCATCAAAAGAATGGTTGACTCTGCTATCATTGATTACTTTAGAGAAACCTCAGTCTTAAAATGAAGCCTCCAGTAAATAGAATACCAAATGGTACAGAATTATGGTAAGATTTACGTTTGTAAACTTTCCACTTCTGGAATACAACTATATTACAAAAGTGTGAAATAAATAATGTGACATGTACAAATACTATCTACACTATACAGTCAAATACCAGAGAAAATGCAAAAAGCAGTCATTAGTATACAGTAAAAATGTACAATCTTCACGTTATACAGAAAGCATCTCTCCTTGTTCCAAGCTTTACACACTTGGTAAGAAACACTTGCTGTTCTCACCTTATCACGCAAGGCTTACATGACCTGGTGATAATGTGCCTGACTCCACACTAAGAAAGTGTTCAAAGACAGTTTTTATATCGGAACAGAGAACCGTGTTTTAGTGTTAGTAATGGTAGTAAATGCAGTGGTGATGACAGTGATGATGGCAACCTGTTCCATTCTTTAAATAGCATATAATCAAGTTTCTAAGGGAAAACAGTATGACCTCTGAAACGTTGGTTAACATCGACCAGACTACACAGCGCAATAACCCAGAAGACAGAAATCTTCTATCTTTACCATGTTTAACTATCTGTTAATTTTAATGATGCACCTGTTAGAAGACAAAGTGATAAAATTTTAACTTCGGATCTTTCACAATATGAATTACTAATACAAACAAAACCCCAAATTTTACTCATGAGAGGTGTTCATATTATATATGTGTGTATTTTGATGAAATGTAGCAGGGAGAATACATTAAGAAAGCAAGATTATATTCTATGTTTCTTCGATATGGTGAGCTTTCTGACATACACAACTACATGCATATACATACATACATTGTAACAAGTGTGGCCACATCTACAGTAAGTCTGTAGGTTTGATCCATGTACAGCAAAGAGTTGTTGATCGAACATAGATTGACTACATGACAGACTGCCACCAGGCAGTACACGCATACCCTACAGCATTTATGGTAAATAGAATCTTGTTGAACAATTTTGCCACACTCCTAAACACATGCAGGTGTGGCAAGTTAGAGAAAGTTGGATACCTAACATGAGCAATGCAAATTTTCTAAGAGGAATTACATATACCCAGAGTAAACTGTTGTTCCAGGTAGCAACCAACGAATGAGTCAATGACACATCAATAAAAATGTAAGGAATAAGGAATATGACAGTGTTAATTCCTGGATTAAACCAATCACTGAGAGTGTGCGCCCATTCAAGCTGCCAGCATCACTCAATTGCATCATCACGCTACTTGTTTGCCGATTGGGTGGGGTGGGGGGTGTAAAAAAATCCACAGAGCCTACCATCAGCAATTTCAACCTACTTCATCCTATTTTCACACCAGTTATTCTGAATGCTTCACCCATCAATAATCACCCCGACACCAAGAAAACCAGCCAAGAGCAACATCAAATTATTTATACAACTCAGAAGCCAACTCACCTGTAACTATGTAATTAGCATCCTTCAGAACTCTGTTTAATCTACCCTTGACAAAACAGCAGTGAATGTCAAACCAGCAAAAACATAAAGGTGCCCAATAACCAGTACTGTCTGTATCAACAGTGACACACTGGTTCCAGCTGCAAGCCATTACATCTAAATGGTTGTCCCTGTGTCAGACCATTATAATATGTATTATATGATGTCTATTGTGCTTAAATTGAACATTCCAGTAAAATTTTCCTAATTTCTCCAAAGGCAATAACTATATGAAATAACAGATTTGTGTGTCATGGTTGATAGTAAACTATCTTCAGCTTAATAAAAAAAAAGCAAAATGATCAGTCACAATTACTGTAACACTGAACATGGTGTTTAAAAGTTCTGGCGTTTTCATGTCTCTTGTATTTCAAGATGGCCACACTGAAATAAGATGAAGATGGGAGACCATCTTAGAATCATGCACTTTCCATATTGCCAGACATCATGAAACTAATTTTTATATAGCTCCCTACTTCACTAAAAAAATAGTAAAACATCTGAATACATGGACTCCATTGGAAAACTTCCTAATGTGAAATATTTGTGAGATATGTTTCTTACACCAAAAGAAGGGTTTCTAAATATTTTTATGAGAACACTCATACAGCATCTGAAAATCAGTCAACAATATGTCCACTATCCAATTTTAGATTATTTTGTGAATTAATAATTTTCTTATACTGAAACAAAAATTGTATCAATAAATAACAAACAGCATGCAAATAATACATAATTTCCTCTTAAGTGATAAGCTGCCTTCAAATAAGTTTTAAATTTTCATTGCAAAAGCTAATGAAAGTTCAGCCAATAAATAAAAAATGACATTGCTAGAGATGTAAGGTACAGTTTTACAGACATCATTTGTGGGTTTATGACCTATAAATGCAGATCCTTAAAAAAAATCTATTCTGTTAATACCAATGACACTGCATATTTAATTGCGCATTTCACATACATTCATGCTCTTAATTTAAGAAGGGTCCAAGAAACAATTTTCAACTGTATGAAAGCAATGAATTTTCTCTTTTATAAAAAATTATGCAGACACAATTTTCAGTAACAGCTGTTGATAGAATTAAGAACTAATTGTGAATATGAGTACCAATTTGCACTGGCATGGCTGTACACATTATAAGGTCAATTATCTGCAATGCATACTTCAGCCTGACCCCTCCCACACAACACACACATCAAGACCCCCAATTCCACAGAGTTTAAAACATGTCATCCACCTAAAAAAGTATGGGGTTTAGTAATTTCAACTTGCTTGTCAAATCCTGGCCTTTTCAGCCAAACTAAGTCCTAAAATTGACAGGTTTCACCTCAATTAAGGAAAAAGGATTCAAACAATTCATTGTTCACTTGTTCTAACATTTTCTTTAAGTATCCTCAGGATGGATCTAATGTCTCATTATGGCAGCAGGCCATATCAAGTAAATCACTATCACCAGCTGATAAGAATTAAGTCCAAAATTTAGGCTAGTGTTAAAGCTAAAGGAAGTGGTTTTCCCAGATCAAGAATTCTAATTAATAAATTGATAGAATTTTCTGAATTTTTAGAATATGGATATTGCAGCTAAACCTATAATAAAGAACAGTACTTACACTTTTCTGAACAGTAAACAGAATGCTATATGAAACTGTGTGAGTTTGCAGTTAAATGAAATATGCTGCCTATATTGCTTGTACAGACATGGTAGCACCAGTTTTCTTAAAAAAATATGGAGCCCTAATATTGTGTGCATTGTAGTACATTTAAGCAGATGTAAATAAAATGGAAGTGGATAAACATTTACAACAGCACTGTACACAGATGTTTACAAACCTGGCAATCATTAAAGTTTGGACACTGCATACTGCTAATGAATGCAGCAGAAAGAATGTGTAATTTAACACAGCAGTCATGATACCCACCAATTTCAAGTTACAAATATAATAAAAACCCATCTCTTTAAGAGGATAATTTCATGAACGCTAGTTAATAAAGAAAATGACACAGTGTACGCACATATACCTAAAATTCAGTTTGGGAGATACATCACAATCAAAAGAGGTAGATAATGCTCTTTTATATGTGTCCTATGTTCACAGAAGTCTTCAACAAACTCACAACTTGAAGAAGAAATAATTTACATGGAATAATCTCTTTAAGTCTCATATCAAATGATAAGTTGCCTTTCACCAACTCTTAACAAAGTTTCACCTGCAATTATACAAACAAGGCAGAGGGAGTAAAAAAAGGAGTAAGTACACTGTCACTTACACGACTAGTTTCATTTGTTTACCAGGGTGAGGCATTACAGAATGCATAGTTCCTGAGTGTTGAGTGCCATCACACAAATCACTGCTAGTGTTGCAAATATTTCCACATTCTGCATAAACATTGAGAGATGACAGACAGAAGTTCTGAAGCTTAAATACTGATGCTTTATTATGAGTTCTACGTGTCATAATACCATCATTCAGACAAGCACCGGTGTTTCCTGATAATGATGATAATGATGATGAATGTGCTCATGCACATGATGATGTTCATGTCTTTCCACTGATGAAGCAGCACTAGGACTCATCGGAGTTTCATCCCTTTTGGGAGATCCAGTTGTATGACTATAAGGCTGTTTTGCATTTCTGGATGGTGTTTCAGGTGGTGTTTTAGTTTCATTTGTAGCAGCATTCTTAGCATTGAGGGTTTCTGTAGTGTTCAGGCTTGAAGAGAATTCTTGTTCTAGCCACCGTACTACCTGTTTCATTGCCCGCGCCTGATCTTGCTCACGATTTCTATGCCTTAAGTGGTGTGGAGAGGAGGAATGGCCAAGGACAATAGGAGGAAACTTACGTTCCTGCTGTCGATATGCTGGCATTCGGTGCTGCTCCAAGTTAGCATATTCAGTCTCATGTGACTTGGACCGTGCATGATTAATAAGTCTAGCATGGTGATAGGCATGTGGAGTTCCACTTCCCATGTATGAACGATGATTAGGTTCATTGGATGGGTTCAGCAAATGGTACTGGAATGAATTTGCAGTGTGGGACAGATCATGAGAACGTGACCTGTGATGACCTCTGGTCCGGCAAGGCTGGTGGTAACCCATGCTTGCATGTTTTGATGACGCACATACTACATCACCAAGTAATTTGTCATAATGGCAGTCCTGATCATAATGACAATGCTGTGATTTGCCAAATGTTCGAGTAGGTTCAAACCCTGCTAAATCCAAATAACAATTACTGCGAGGATCCTGTGTGAAGCTAGAGTAATCTCCCACATTTGCAACACAATGAAGTTGTACTCGGGCTGCTACTCCATCTTCATGCTGCTGTGTCTTCTGTCGATGCCGATAGTGAGAATGACGATCACCTGGCCCTCCACGATCACCACACTGTTTCCTGCACATTCAGACCACACTGATATTTCCTGCACCTTAATGTTTTATTGGGTACCTATATACATTCAGGTTTCATGAGATTTTAATATCTCTTTACCTTAAAGAAATCCTAATAATATTATCATCATTAACATACGCAAGTAAAACACAGCTGTATGGTCTCAAGTAAAGAATGCAACAGTTGTTACAGGGCAGGGCAGGGCAGTCACACACTTCTGTTCAAACAGAATGGTGGATGAAAATATAGGATCAGTAAAAAAGAATGCATTAGATAATCATTAAATATCTGCCAGTAATGCTGAAGATTAATGCAACAGATTATGGTTCCACTGCTCAAATTAATGAAAATTTATTTTAAATGATAATAAGTGTCTCTGCACTCAATCGATACATTGAAATTGCTGCAAATCATGGACTTAAAAAACAACAGCTCACATGACAATCAGTTGATTAGTTAAAAGAATTATATGCTGGAAATCAACCACTTGTAATAAGAAAATGACATGGGTATAATATAATACTGTGTGTGTGTTCTGATTTACAGCCTTTCTCTTTTAGAATTAAAAAATTTCAATGGCATTTATATTGGTTTATTAACAAAAAGGAGTTCTAAACATAACTTATAAAGCTTGCATTCCTGTTACATGTAATAGTGACCATACATGACTTGTATGACTGATTATAATCTATCTTCACAAAGAATTTTATACTCCTAGCTACACAGCTATGATAAACTGAAAATTCAATTAAAATTTTGCATGGTCTCCTAGTTCTTTTACATTCTAAACATTGAACTGCCTCGACAAAGCTGCATTTTTTTAAATAGTCAACATACACAGTTTCAGGACCCTTTACTTAACTGGTGCTAGTGCTACTTCCCCTTAACAAGTTTGTATGTCTTTCATGTTGTATTATTCACTGCAGAAAATTAAGAAGTAGTATGAGGTTGGCCTCCAATTGCATACGATTCATACAACATTCCATTACAAGCAGTCAACTGGTTTAAAAGCTAAAAGGGAGGACATGGTGATTTAGCAATCCTACTTTGCTAGGAAAGTAAACTACAAATGGAGAAAATGTGTTTTGAAAACAAAGCCTATAGCATTCTTTGAAAAGTGAATTCAACATAAGATTTTGGGCTTATATAGATGTTACAAACAAAAAGTAATGGAACAGAAAGTAATCATTTGCTATTGTGACAGGAACATAAAATAATTATACTAATAGTGGTTAAATAAACTGATTCTAACAATACATGCTACAACCACTGCACTATCTTACAGGAAACATACTCTATTTCACACACATAATGGAATTAACACTGTCAGGTACAATTCTGTAAACCAAGACTGGATTGTGGTAATATTTTCTGAAACCACGAATACCATACCTTGACGTTTGAAAACTTAAATTGTTCTTCTCCATATTGGCCTGAATGATCTGCAGCAGCTCCTCTCGCTGAAGAGAGCTTGAACGTTTCTTATTGCGCTGACGCAGCAGCTGAGCAGTGTTGGTCTCCCCCGGGCAGTACACACCATGCTGATGCCGATAACGTGCAGGTGTGTGTTGCTGATACCGCCTCGTATGTGGCCTCCCGCTGTGCAGGAATATATATTTAAAGTCAGAAAATACACACATTCTTTAAAATACACCACAAATTCAACATTCTTAAAATTTTCCAATTTAATCCTTTATAGGACAGAAATATACTGTCACATTTTACCTCCACAACTGCACATCAATGACAGTCCATTCATAAGTTTCATCAAGTTCTCGCAATAAATAGCAATAATTGTCCTAAAGATTGCTTCTACCCTCAAGACGGATGTGTTACATTCCTACAAACACTGGTGACCATATACAAGACTACATGGCATCACAATCCAGAAGGCCACAATCAAAATTTCCACTGCCATGAAAACCTCAAATTTCACATTAATATACTTCCATCTATATTAGTGTTGAGATAGATTTTCTTGGATTTAAGAACCATGTTTTAAATATAAAAAAGAGTTTTAATCATGAATTAATTCTGTGTTGCAAGTATTAGAAAGTGTTATGCATAAGACAGATATTTGTGGTAAAGGTGGAATGAATATGAATCCTTTCCCTTCACTGACAATGACTTCTGGTAATTTCTGAACACAACAGTTAATGCCTGTATCAGTATTCTGTTAAACCCAGCTTACATTAGTATTTACATTACGTAAATTATAAACAGAGAGGTGGAAATATAATCTTGTTCTTCCTGCAACTTAAATAGGTGTCACTTCCTTAATTTTAATTTTTGTTTCCCATAATCAGGGTATTTTCCAGCACTGTTTGCAGAGTCAAATATAAATTAAACTGAGCCTGAAATACCTCTAAAACTATTTTACAACCTGCATATGTTTATCAAATTTAAACTTACCTTCCTTGACCAGCCTTAGGAGTGGAATGCTGAGATCCCAGTTCTCTGTTCACAGGCATGTCTTCAGGTGCAAGTTCATCATCATTGTCATCCTCTGAGATGTCAGCTGCTCCATCATCATTGTTCTCACTGACACCACTTCTACAACTACTACTGCAGCTATTAGCATATTTGTCCTCAGACACGGGGACATTGTCGCCGCCACCGCATCTTCTCCTACGATGTAGTCGTCGAGGCATATGAGATTCTCTAATCGTCACATTTAAGTCACGCTTGAACTTCACTCTGTGGTTGGAACTCCCCTGATGGGTAGATTGGCCCCCAGAACCTGGGCAAGTACCACTGCACTTTACATTGTTGTTGTTGTTATTGGGCATATTATCTCCTCCTGCAGGCACAGCGTCTTGAGCAACATCTTTCTTGCGCTGATCTGGGGATACTGTCAACTTCACCTTTATTGTCTTGCTGCCATAATGTGGAACTTTGATGGATGAACCCAATGTGTCATAAATTGTTGTCACCAAACCAGCAATGTCCTGCAGTAGAAAAACAAAAATTTTCACAATGACACGATATGCAACAAACAGACAGACAAACAAACAAACAAACAAACAAACAAACATACATACGTGCATGCATGCACACCCACCCCCAACACACATGTGGGGGTACATGAGTGTGTGCATGCACAAAGACATAACAGAAGATATTGTTGGGATACCAGATAGGAGGGAAAGTAATTCACCATGGTGGCACTTGAGGGGGTGACAGGGATAAACAGAAGTATACCTTCTACTCATCCTTGACCTGGGCACTAGATGGGGTGAGTGGTCAGTGTTTCAAAATCCCAAATTTAAGCATCCATATCCATAATGAATTGCTTTCTTTATGTATAAAAATTACTTCAAAACTACACTTTTCTTGTGCATGTGTTGCTTGAGATAAATCAAGTTCATATAACAAGGCAAGAATTAATTCTAAATTTCAGAAATCCAATAACCAAGCTTATTATTTCTTCTTCTAAAATGAGATCTTCTATATAGCACAGTCAATGACTCATAAAAGATGGCATTTAATACTGTCAGATCACCTTCCAAAGCTATAAGCCAGATGTGAGTAAAAACCTCCTTTGAGTTTATTCTGGTACATCAAACACAACAAAATGCTGTGCGTGAATACAAAAAACTTAATTTAAATCTTGCCGAGCTTTCATACACCCAACAGATCTCCTTAATACACAAGTTCTCTGAAAATCTAATAAGACTGCTGTTTTGAAGTTTAAGTGAAATAAAAGCTAAAGCGTGTAAGGGATATTTAATCCATCTTTGACAACTGATAGCAACAATGACAGGCAAGATATTGGAATGAGAAATTCTTATATCTAAAGATTTGTATAAAAATGAAACAAGCAGGTTAGCACTAAATGAAAACAAAACACTGGAAATGAAAAGGGCATTCCTTTATATGCATACACACGTACAAAGTAAATGGATTATGCTACATATGAAATCCCTATTCAATGTTGTGCACCAGTTCTCTTTTAAAACAACAAATTAATGATTCGCCCCACACAAATAAGAACAAATTGGTTGTGGCATGTTATGAATATAATTCTAAAGTGGTTTCTAGTCTCTGTTAAAACATAAATGTGACCATTCAAACCAGGAGGGGAGGCTATGTGATTTGCTTGTAGCTATCTTTATAATATTTGTAATCACTTCCTTCTTCCAATTAATCTGCTTTGTCACCAGCATTTGACTAGAACAGAACAAACACAATGGATTGGTCCTGTGTAATGAGGACAATGATACCCCTGGTATGGCAATATTATCATACAACTTTAGTTCCCTTTCAAAGCCAAAGGTGCAATTGTTTATTTCTTTATTAGCAAAACTCATGAAAGGAACAATGTGAGGAAAATAAATAGTTTCAACAGACAAGTTTGCCATGGTTTGTCACTCTAATTCTGATTAAGTGGATGTAAAAGGCTGCAAATTCTTGTAATAAAAATTCAAATTTCATCTCATCTTCAACAACTATTTAAACAATGTACTTCAAAATGGACTGGGGACATTAACCCTAAATCTTACGTTATAAAAGATGAGTGGGGGATATTTCTGAGGACACTTCTACTCTAAAGATGGAAGGAACAGGTTCCTTCAAAACACTGATAACTACCTACATAACTAAATGCTGTTGTAACCCAAATGACCACACAGACATATTTTGTTTCCTCTTAAGCTATGCAAAATATGTTACATGCCTTAAAAAATTCTTTGTGAATAATATTCCAACTTTATTCTAAAAAACCACTGGCTGAGGTTCAACTGTGGCAGGGAACCAGGAATTTTTCTTCCCACTACCACATTCAGACTTAATGAACACTTCCCAGGGGACATTTGGAGCACACTGATGGCCAACTCTCTTTCTGCTAATAGTTTCGTCACAGTTTACTGAAAAAATGTATTTTTTATTTATAATCCAGCTTTCTCCATTTTCTTTCTGGAAGAAATATTTTATACTTTCAAGAAGACGTTCAGGAATCTAATGAATTTTAAAGTTTTCAACTAAAATTTTTTACACGGGCTGGACAATTAGTTCTGAAAAATATGACAACACAGCTATTTATGGCAAGACAATTGTTACTGGGCTTTAAGACTGTCATGGGATTAAACATGAAACAGCAACTATTTGTGGTCAGTTATTATGATGAAATTATTAAACTGAAGTAAATATGATATATTAAATACTGCCTTGCCCTTCTAAATGCTTCAACAGTTTCATTTCAGATCTACTGTTCATATTAACAATCTTTCAACATTTAAAAAATCTTATCCCTCCACTTTGCATCTCTATATTTTGTACATGCCTTTGAACTTTCTGATTAGGAATCTAAAGGCATCTTGTTTAAAGGATCTTTAAAAAATACATGATTCTCGAGCAAAACCTGCTTTGTTTTCCTACTGAGCAGATGATATTTCATCATGAGCTCATGTTCCACCAACTTCACTTTGCCCCTCTATTCTCTTTATGATGGCATTTCTGTTTTGAAATATAAACTTTCTCAGCAGCATCACCCATGAAAATGATCTCTTCATGTTTCCTTTGATATTTAACTCCTTGGTTTCAGTATAGTTATGATATTCACTACCAACCTATGCTAATTCTTTAAACTTGTGTCAAGAAATAAATCAAATTTTTAATTTGGCAAGGAACAATAATTAATTAAATAAATAAATAAAATTTTAAGTTTCATACAAAGTGTCTCCAGCATAAGACAGTCAACTAAATTCGCTCTCAACAGAACACAGGACTATTACTTAACAACACAATAATATATTAATATGTAGACTTCATACATAAAAGCCTGTAATGTTGGCAGTGAATAACATTGCATTGCCAATTTGAATGTTTTAAATACAAATAGCTTTAAATGGACCATAATGTCATCTACAATGCTGCTATATGAAATTGGATTTAATAATACTGGTACTGGGTATGTGAGAACTACTGCAACAAGTGTCCTCTTATGAAATTTATAAGTAATAGTGAAGAAACTGGAAAATAAAATCAAGTATTAAAAAGAAAGTGTCATATCTAGAGTCCAGTGCCATATTGTAAAACCAGGGCCAAATCAAAGGGTTTGAATTGACAGGGTTCCCTGTCTCATAATATTAAGAGATCAAAGTTTAAAACCTGGAGGAGAGTTTAAACTATATCATTTGGCAATGTTGTTTTGATCATCATATCGCAGGCATAATTAGTTCTTGATGAACTTACATCTTTTGTGATCTTCCCATGTCCATCAAAATCATACAGTGTGAAAGAGAATTCCTGGCGCTCTTGACCTCCCAAGTCAACGCCACCCTCCACGGACAGGTCGCACTCGAACTCCTGGCACAAAAATTAAAAGTAATGATGTTATGCAATTTCTTTGCAACAGTGGCAGTCTGCGAGATGAATTTCAAGAGAAGAATCAGTGACAATACAAAAGAGGGTGACAAATAAAAGACATAAATATAACATCAAATTATTCGAACCACGAGGAACATACAGCCACAGGGCAAAGGAAACAGACCCAGGAATAAAAACTTTGACTATGAGATGGGCTCCAAACACACGACCAGTTGTAGAATAAAGTGTCGGTTATAACTTATTTCCCTGTGGCCCTCTTATCAAATTTGGCATGTAATTATGGCTCTTAGAGCTCCAGATGGAATATACAGAATGTCCCCAAAAAGTTGTACATACAGAATATTAATCTTGTTATCAGATGCTCATCTCAGCCACAAAGCTAATAATGGCCATTTTGAACATCTACGCTACATTAGCTAATTCACTAGTACCAAAGCCGACATGTGCAATGGTTTCATTTATTAAAATGTATTTATTTAATTCGTTGTGTGTATGTACATCTTTTTTTGAGACACATTCTATACAACTGTATCTAACTCAACATGGCATAGTCTGCTGGGAAAGGTTGCCTTAAGACGCAGAAACAGACGTTAACACAATTAACTAATTAGTTATTAGTCACTTCACTGAAGAATAAAACAATTCCTTTCCTTTTTGCAAGAGCATGGAATGTTCATGGCCCTATTTGGTACAACTAACTCAGTGATTAACAAACAATGGCTGTCTTCTATGATGTTACACTGCGTAATCTTGGTAGAAAATGACCTGACACTCTAGAAGAGCTAAATGCCTCCATCACTGGGTGAGAACCTCTAATCTCACATAGTGCCTTACACTTCACTGATATGCGAGTTCATTTTAACATTAGTACATAAATATGTTCTACTGAAAAAATGGTTTGTGAATATTGTAGTACCATGAAAGAACATCCTCTTATCAAGTGTGTTGTCTCTAAAATGTTTCCTAAGCAGAAAACACAAACCTACAAAATGTGGTAGTAGTACTCCATGTTCCTACGTGTTCTGGAGCAAATACACCATGAAGTATTACACTATGGCAGTGGCATAATAATTTGAAGACACAAATCTTTCAAAAACAACACTAACTATCCTCTACAACACAGATTCATAAATTTCCCAGACCCAGGATCATTTTCACCCTTTCTCAATGGCTCAGTTAATTTCACAAACTTTTACAACTTATGACGTTATACTTCAGAATGAGTGAATTTTTGTTGCATGTGCTGACAATTAAGAATTTCCAGTACAGTCGCATGACCTTCAACTGGGTCAGTTCATTCCATTTCTATACGAATTTTCTAATATGGAATTTCACATTTAATTGTCTCAAGAAGTTACATTGGCCCACTTTCAAAATCACAAATAAAATCTCTAGTAATGTGTATTAACAACATGCTAGAAAACTTTAAAAAGAGGGTTTTGAGGAGAGTGGAAATTAAATGGGAGAATGATAAGCAAATGGCTATTATGAACACGGTTGTGACTACATAAATAAATAGTCGAATAACGGGTTATTGTGTAAGAAATTAACGTTTTGTAGTAACACCGACTTTTTCAATTGAGCACAGTCGTCGGAGGAATCTGTGCGCTAGACGTCGGTTTCAAGTAAAATTGACAAATAGGCAAATAGACTGGAGAGGTTGCAGTAAAGTATATTTTGCCCACCCTGTATACATTTCTCAGCAACAGTACTCCGCAGCTCGTTGTGTCAGATCCTATGTCTTTGGATTACACAGTAGTACATGCGTTTGTTTTCCTCCTACCCGTAAACTAGTGACGTAGGCTATAAACGCACTGTTTTGTCATGGCTCCTAACGTACGAAGTGCTCCGGGAAGTCCCTGTTCCAGAAAATGGTTGGTACTGCAGTCTCCACGATACATTCTGGTGACGTCACTAAACATTATAGCTAATTGGTAAATATTTGTGATTGTGTGGATTCTTTAGTACTTTGCTCAACATTAAAAAGGTATTACTTCTTGGTTCCGTGAAATGTTATCCAAAGTCATCGAAAATACTTCATCAGTAACATTCCATTCATTAGCGGTCAATATGAGTTAAAAGATAATACAGAAAGAGAGGGAGCAGATATAATATACGAGGAAATGCAAACATATGCGTTCAAGCAACCAGAAAGCTTATTAACTGACCCCAAGCCTGAGATCCCCGTTGACCCCACGCAAATCGTCCGCAATGAAGTGTCATTAACACCAACATCTTCCCAACCTTGGTCTAGATTTACATAGCAACAAAAAACCATTTGTCAATGTAAAGAACTGCTGTAGAAAAGCAGCGATGTTTGGCATCTTTCTTGCGGCGCCGACAAAGAGATTAACGTAAAAGCAGCATATTTCACATTAGAACAAGAAGGGTGTATTTATATTTACCGCCTATCACATGACACGCTCTTTCTTAGTGGCTAGCTCGTCGACACAAACAAAATAACGTGATCAATTCGAACAAAGAGCTACAAATTGTGAACTGCATACCGCTTTAAAGGAGAAAGGAGTAACTGAGAGACGAAGTGGAATGAGCTGTTGAGGAAATTGGAGTTAACAAAATAACAGGAATATCAGGAAGAGTGGGGAAATCATATTCACAGGGTGCAAAATCTCAGATTACAATTTGTCAACTGCAGATTTGAAGGAAAATGGGATTTAGGAACATTAATGAGACGATCTGAACAGCCTGTGTGCCCTCGGATCGGGGTTAATGGACGTAAACCTTGCAAGGATTAAAAAGTCTGCCCATTTCGCATCGACTATCAATTTCCTCGTAAACAAGAAAATGCTAATCTTCTAAAATTATATCAAATATATCCTCAAAGGTGTGTCTGTCTCTTCTTAGACCTGGTATATCCCCAAGTTTTACATTGGTTTAGAAATAATTTATGTACTAAACCAGTGGTATTAAACCTGGGGTACGCGTACCCACGGGGGTACGTGAAATTTAAAAAATATATATATTATTTTGTGATAAACACTGATTAATGTAATTTATTTAATGTATTTTAGATGTAGATTACATACTATGCACAACTTGAATTATACACCAACAACTTTGGGGGTACAAAGTTGAAGATAAATTATATCTGGGGGTACGCGAACAAAAAAAGGTTGAATACCACTGTTATAGACTACGCAAACTAACAGAAATCCAACAAATAATTTTGAAAAAAAGTGTAAATGTGTTCCACATAAAAAGTTGCAGATCTTTATTACAATTATGTGTGCCAAGTGCTAATGCACTGTAGAGCAGTTTCGATAATGTAAAGTTGGGGCTATAACGGATCAAAATAAACGATAATTAAATTTCCACAACTACAGAGTACATCACTAAATACCAAAAGATACCTATTACTTGTCGAGTAGCTTCAGAGACAAATCACATGAACGTTGACCTTCGCACTGTGTCGTAACATGCGGTTAGTGCAAAGAACAACATATATCCACAGCGTGCTTACAAACTATAGGAATAAGACCTGCGGACGAAACAGCATTTACAAACCAAAAGGCAAACATCGAGACGAGAGAGACATTCTCCTTATTTCTCAGCCTCCTTACAAAGTTAACACATAAAGGCTAGGGCGCACGAGCGGTTTCACTGCCGCAGCGGTACAACTACCGCAACCGCATATTATTGTTGCTTATGCACTGGGACGGAGAAATAAACGCTTGTCTGCGTTTTCTTTTCAGTCGGGAGCTGCATTTTGTGGAGACAGTTGGCATGTGCTCTAGGCTGATAAGTCGAGGTGTGGATTTTGTTGAGACTGTCGCTGTGTGCGCTTTATGTTAAGCGCAAGGGTAAAGCGAAGAAACAAATTTTGGTTCCCTCCACTTCTAAGTAAAAGATTGTTGAAAGCAAAATTTCTCAAGTTTTATGAGGACCTGCGTATGTATCCAAAGAAATTATTCAGATACTTTCTGTTTTTGTTAAGTTGGCTCGAGTTGTCAGTAGGGCTTCAGAGACTTCTATCCACAGTTTCTATATATATAGTTTTTGTCGCTGTACTCCGATATGGCCGAACTGTACAATGCCGGCCTTTACTACTATTCATTTGCACCAAAAAGTCGGGCAAACAATGGTCGCCGTGCGGCTGTTCCACCGCTAGTGCGCGCACACAGGTAGGGTTCTTCGTGTTCTATTGTCGCCAACAGCGGCTGTGCGGCAATCGCACCGCATCGAAAATGAAGCATGTTGCGGCAGAAAAACCACAGCGGTAAAACTACCGCACGCGCGCTTCCTACTGAAAAACTGCTGCGTCCCAAACCGCTCATGCGCGCGGGGTCTAATTGATCCATACCGCCAATTCAAGGTCACGAAGTGATGCAATCGGAGAGATCAAAGTGGAATGCAGGCAGGAGATACAGCGCATGAAGTGGTAGCTGCTGTACTCATACAGAACATACGGACCTCATGACATTGGGGTACCAGGTTTTTTGCCCCCGGATACCGACCTGTGAGCCCCTGAATACAAAAGCCGATACTACATTTGGTTTCAAGATCATTGTGACGAAACAACAATTACATCACTATAGTAATTAAGCCCACGCTCACACAGTGAGGTATAAGGGACGTGCAACTTGTAGATATTGATCATTTCATAGAGCTTCCGCCTTCACAGGCAAAAGCTAGCTGAAACACTGCCTCAATAAGACAGCCATGTGTAATTTAGTTCCGAAAGCACACGTAAATCATCCTTAGCTAGTCGCATGAGTGTGTGATGTTTGTGGTGTTTCTGTACGAAACTCACCTCGAAGTTAAGCTGTCTTCTCTCGGGGCTGGGAGCGCCATTCTTTGCATTGTTTGGTTGCTGTTTCTCATCGCATGTGTCTTTCTCGTTGGCGGCGTTGTACTCATGGCGGCCCAAAAGCTCCTCCGTGTCCGAGGGTCGTCCGTCGCTGCAATCTGTTGGAACCACTGGGGATAATAAAAATTCGAGCATTAATAGGCTACACGTATCAAATGCTTGTTTCTCGTGCTGGCGCTGACAAGACTATTCATATTTTACTTGAAAGGACCACAAATGGATTTGACAACTTCTGTGGAAATGCATAAACTGCTGACGTTAACTGAATCGTACTGCTGTCAACAAATCGGGTGTATCAAAACCGCATTTCGTGTTAACCTTGTATCTGCTACTGTTGCGATGGACAGACCGTGTTTCTGTACAACCGTGGTCACTAGCAGGTTCGTTGTTCATCTTCGGTATGAAACATGAGAGAGCAGCGGTGAAATGACAGGAAGAAACTGAAGGGCTTGGAGAATACAAAATGCAGAGTTACTAATTGTTGAAGCATGTGGAACATATTGTTAGCGCTGAGCTTAAACGGTCTGGAGTCATGAAACTCCTTTCATTTCATGGAACAGCAACAAGCTCAACTGAGGAGGACATTAACCTGCGTAAAAGGGTTTGTCCGTACCTGTGCATTATACAACTTTCCAGCAGTACAAGAAAACTTTCAACCTTCACGAAATAAATACCGACAAAACAATGCAATTGGAACAGGACTGATATGGAACAAACCGACATAACTTTCGGTTTAATCTCCCTCTCTCTTGGCTTTCAGTAGGGAGGCTTTCTGTCCCGTTCTTTGGAAACTGGTTTCCTTCCGCCGCCCGCCTGACCAGTCGCCACATCACCACGTTGCCACTTGTACATGACCACAAACTATTTCAGGAGAATAAGGACATTGGTGCTTAAACGCCACGACACAAGACGTATGGTGGAACGAACGTAAAGCTCCTTGTATTCTTAGAATCGTCAGCTTAGCTCACGCCGCATTACCCCGGAAAAGGCCTGGAGGTTACTTTGGCGTGATAGCGAATGAAGAACATCAGTGATCCTGTCGAGAATCGAACACCTTTGTTCCAGCCAATGACCAGTTACTTTGCTGGGATATTAAACAGGAAACGTGTCTGGCATCCGCAACAAGTTTCTTAGCGCGCTCTATGCTGCGTTCTTCTTTAATAATTCATTCCGACACTCACAGGCAAATGAATGTATGGTTAGCACAAAAACATTTTAAGAAGCTGGAAAAAAAAATTGTCATAATACGAGGCAACAGGCCTATGCGACACGAAACATAAATGATGAAAACCTATCCCACGAGTACGATGACACAACAATATCGGGAAGAAAGAAAGTACGTTTCCGAGCCAACTGCAGCACTCCTATAAAATTCAGCAATCCGAGTTAATTCACAAGTTTTCCAATGGGCCTTGTTTGTGCTGTCTCCCGAAAGTTTCCAGGTTCCTAAGCGTCTTTTTACTTTGTATGTCTACGAATTATAAGACTAACAAAAACCTGGACGAAAACAAGTAGATATTACGCAAATGCTGGAGCAGTTTACCCTGACCTGCAAAAAAACCCGTAATTAACAATTACAAAGATGGGTTCTTTCGAGTGCCAGAGCTGAATGATGCAGATAAGCCAGTCTGCAGTAAACAGTCGAACGGGTTTGTTGTCTCAAATGAATTTCCTTTCGTTTCTAGCTCCACTAGTTACATCACGCCACAAGGCACACACAACTCCAGTCAACTTCCACAGAGGTGAAACTGGTAACGGCTGCTTCATATCACTGAAACCGCGAGACAAAAGTAGGGCAGGAAAACAGGATCGGTTAACTGAACAACTTCCAGTCTGCCAATATAAGCAACCCAAATAAGAGCAACAGAAAAATAATTCGTGCTAACGAGTGTTCAGATGAACATGTCCTGAGGCTAATAGCACACTAGCCTAGTCGACATCTGTCAGAAAAATATATTTGGTAGATTCCGGTTAATTGGGTCATCGGTTAATCGGGGCAGCCGTTTACTTGGGACGAATCTTAAAGAACAAACCTTTTTAACTCTTTACGTGGAATTTCTCATAATTGGGGCAGCCGCTTAATTAGGCCAAAGTGTTTTAGTCCCGATGTGTCCCAATTGACCGGAATCCACTGCATAATGGCAGTGCACACTTCAAAGACCAAGAAACCTCCGAATGAAAGCGTCGAAGACCCAGGGTGGAATGTAGAGCCAAGGAATAAGAAGAAGATATATATTTATATCACTCGCCATCTACGTTCGACGTTTTACCAGCAATGACTTGCATATACCCTGCCAGCCTGTATTGACTTCTTAAACACTTTTTATTCTGAAGAGTGGTTTCGATAATTAATTGAAGTAAATATTCTCTTTCGCTTTTCGTTCCCAGAAAGACCGCTGAAATAAGGGCAACGTTAAGAAGCCTTCCCCAGGAAAAACGTGTCGAAAGTTCTTCCATAAGTTGAAATAGGCGGGGGAGCTTTCACGCTGATGTTGCCCCGAGTCGATGTCCAATTGCAATAAGGCCTATTATCGCAATAAACGATATCCAGCTCAATCACACACGCTGTTGCAAGTCTCGAAGGCTGAAATGTCAAAGCAGGTAGACTACGAGATTTTGGGCATATGACAAACTCGTGTTGTTAACGAAGAGACTCTCCTTTATTATCCGAGATTAATTTCCCGCATTCAAAATTTTACCAGCTTCGCAGGCAGTGATTAAAAGATAAGAGAAGTTATAGCAGCCTTAAAACTATCCATACGTTCAATGATGCCTTGTTCTTTGTATCATCCTCTATCTCTTCTGTGGTGTTTCTCATTTTAATTTCCCACAATAAAATAACAAGCTCCAGCATCAAAATAACTGCATTAAACCTTCACGTTTGAGGTTTCATGAGCTTCCCAGAATCAAGACCAAATTTCGTTACCACACATCAATGAAGATTGGGGCAGTGTCCATAATTCGCATGCGATTTCCTATTACCATTTCTGAATCAATGTTATTCTTTTATGTTCAGTGAATGAAAAACCAATTTGAAAAGATCGCCGTGCTGAGGCAACTTCTCCGACACCTAGATCTGCCGGGTAATCTGAACATTGCTTCGCATTACTCACAGAGTGGGAGGAATAAGGCCTCAGACCGATGCAACTGACGCGCCGAATAAATGAATTCAGCTAACGATAAAATAATGGAAATCGACTCTTCCGGGTCACTGCCCTGATTGTAGAGGCCGCAAGTGCCTCTGAAACGTCTGTAAACGTCGACTTCTTGGCTCCTCTGCGTAATCATCCTGGTGGTAGAAACTGCATGCACTTCTCAAACTCCGGCAAACTTCCACCACACTACACGGTACAACGTAGAAGACAGCCTCTTCATACTCGCAGCCATTAGAACCAAGCAGCTCACACTAACTGTGGTCTGGATAAAAGGCGTATAATTTGGGTACAGATGCACGCCAGTCCCGATCATCCTCCGTGAAGTAAATAAATAAGCTGCTGCTGTAGGAAGACGAAATCAGCAACAGGAAACACTGCGTGGTAGGCGGCGGACAGACAAGGCCCCTCGCACATAAATAAATCTCCTCGTCGTGGTGGCGCGCCGTCGTACCGACTGCAAGTGGGCGTCTGCACGATCCCTACACATACCTCGACCTTGACACTGAAAAAACCGGAATCGAACCCGTAACTGTGTGTTGGGATCGTTTACCCACATGGGACCGCATGGTGGGGCTTCATTCGAGGGGTGAGGCGGTGGTGACTGACAAAAGTTGAAGGCGTAGTTTTAAAAACTGTTCTTGTATATTTCTAATACTGCAACACAGTTTCTAATGAAATCTGTTCAAGAAACAGCCACTTCAGGTTTGTCCCTGAAAATGAGTTGATTATTTCGCTCGTCATTACAACGAAAAACAAATTCTTTTTCCTGTCGTGTGAACAAAATTTGGAAAATTCAATTTCCGGGGTTGTGTCATTCCAATACTTTACAGATTCGCCAAGTCGGTCGTTTGCTTATTACCATCAAAACCAAGGATAGATTGCTTCTGTACTAGATACAGGCTACTGTTTTGTATAATTGCCTTTCAATGAACTCTTTAAAATCTTGGGCGTGATGTGCGGAAATTTCACAGAGAACTCGTTTTGAATCATACGGGTAGGACTATACTAAATGAACGAGCACCCTCTGTAAGATGTAGAGACGAGGAACGGACGCGTTCACGTAAAACTGAAGATGGCTGACTTCTGGGATGTTGTGCCGCGCAGTATGGTGCAGGTTGACCGACGTTGCGAATGATTTTGCTGCCTCCATTACTCCGTAGCACACGGAGGTGAATGCAGCTCCTCCATGTTTTGAAGTTAGCAATGGTTTAGGCGGCTGTATAGCAAAGGGGAGGGGCTGTTGCCAGTTACAGTTATGCCACGGAAACCATGTGCATTCGTAACTAACAGATCGTAGACAATTCTCCAGTACTTTGGGCAGGCACTTCTGACGCCATCACGTAAGCTAACATAACAATAGAAACGCCTGAAGAATGCGACACGAATGTAACAAGCACGAAGACATTACCACCTCTACAACATAGCGGTAAATATCAAACGGAATGCCAAGGACAACAACATCATTAACCTTGACATTCAAAAGCTCCAGTCATTTCGAGGGGGACGTCATTACAGTATCAACGTAACTCCGACCCCCAATGAACACAGACAAAACCGCCAGATAACAATACGTCTACCACGCCAGGGGCTGATATGTGACAGTCTTTCGTAATTCTTCGGGCACGATTGCCCACAATGTTGCGCTCCAATTAAGAACGCCCTCAGTCCATCCATCGTCTACAGGTTTCATTTCTGTAATTTAACAACCAAGTTTACGGAACCAGAAACCTGCCATATACTTTTTAATACTCAAAGCCCGTCGCGCTTGACCAGGGTGCGGAAAACCTAAATCACGTTCTGAGGGTGGTGGCACTGGGAGCGAGAAATGAAAACGAGATTATGGTGGCGCCTAGGGTGAGATCTGGCGGAATCTGAGTTTGGAGAGAGTCTTGAGTCTGACAGATGGTTGGTTTCGTCTTATATCATTTTGAACAAATCTGGCTCTGTCGCCATGA